ATTGTAGAAGCGCACACAAAGACCCCTGAATGAGTTATTAAGTTTTTGCAGTCTAGTGACAGGCACCGTTAATTTATATTTATTTCTTGCATTAAAATTGTGTACATCACTTTTTATAGAAAACAAACTAATATTTTTACGAACGTACATTAAGTTCTCGTATATGTATTGAGAAGCAACAGTCATTATGTCTATTTCCTTAAACAAGGTAATTAGTAAAAACTATGTTAACAGTAAAATATTATTAAAACTGAAAAAAATATTTTTTATACTCTCATCATGGGAAACTAAACGTTAAAAATATTATTTTTAAAAGAATTTTTTGGATTCGGATGTGTTTTGTTAACATGTTTCACTGTGTTTCCATATCAATAAATGTTATTAAAGTACTATTACTAATAGTATCGATTAATCGATAAGTTTTAACTTTAATACAAATGAAAGTAATTAAAGTATATATATATTAATGCATATACAGTAGGTGATCTTTTGCAAAATCATGTATCAAATATGTTAAAAACATAACAAATAATCCTTTTCGGTTAGATATAAGTTAATTTACACTAACAATCGATTACTTTCTAATCGATTAATAATTTTTATATGGCAGCACCTTTTCACTTTGTCAACAAATATGTTTGAGTGATAATTCTTATTAAAATAATTGTTTATAATATAAAATAATTCCTTAAATAATGTATTGATATCGTTTAACGTGTTGTTTTTGGTAAATCCATGTAGAAAGATAGAATTGGTAATTCAAAATTGTTTGGTTTAATGAATGTATTTAAATCGTGTAATATCGTCGGCAGCTTTGTATAAATTATGAAAGATCTATATTACGTACTAGATCACATCTACTGCAAACAATATCCGACAGAGAAACACACATTAGAAATGAAACTATTGATTGGATATCCCAACGACAGGTAGGATTATAGTTATTTATATTTATTAATGATTACTATAATTAAACTTCCTTTATGACATGAAAAACATTAATATATCGCTACCATATCGTTAAATAACATTTTGTTGACAAATAATTTAATTATATACTATACTCTTTTAGATGCATGGATCTGATCACATCTGTCATCCATGTTGGCAGCGAGCAGATAGAGACAGTTCCTTCTAATATTCCAGAACCTATACAGAACATTACCTTGCCGGATTTTAAAAGAGCATCTGATTCACAAGCATAATGTTTTGTTCCGGGTTGAGACTCACTACAGCAACTGACAGTACCCAGATGGCTTCAGGTAAAATTGTTTGTTGATTTTAACTTTTATGTACCAAAAACCAGTAGACTGTAATTCTCATTTATATTATAATAATTGGGCTGAATGGTTGTCTATCATGCAAACTATTCATACATTTACTATAGAACTTATACAAGATTTTGCTTCATTTGTAAAAAAAAATCTTACAATGGATTTTAACAATATTGAAGGAATGACTGAAGACATTATGCACTTTTGAAGGTCTGTCAAAAGAGGAGTTCCTTCAGTTAAAATTAAATTGATTTAAAAAATTCTTTTGCTTTGGGAAGCTCCATCTTTCATCAGAATGATATACTATTAATACTGCTACTATCAACTAGTTGTTCAATATTTAATGTTAATTTATTATGAAGTAGTTATGTGCAAATGTACTGAATAGGTGTTTTAAAATAGTCCTTTCTGTTAATAGGCGCAGATTTCAATGTGAGTTTACAGCCGCTCCTAGCCGAAGAGTTGTGCTTGAGGGTGAGCACAAATCAGGAGAATAGTCTAGTTTGAGGGAGAGCACACGTTAGGAGAGGCCGTGGAAGATTCAAAGATTAGGATGTCATGTGACCAACTTATATAAATGTAGCTGCCTTTTTTGACTGCCCAAATGCCAGCCTCCAGCTGAAGAGAAACTGTATGAGCAGTGTAATTTATTTATTAAGTGATTATGTAAAGTCTATTCTTATAAATATGTGTATTTAGAAGTACTGTCTTTTGCTTGTAGAATTGTATTGTCAAATTAAAGGTAAATATGTGTAAATCTACAATTTCTTTATTTAGACATCTCTGTTTCTTATTTCTAACATAAATAAATTAATATGATGATAAGGTAATAAAAGTATGTTACAAAAAAATAACCTTTTCGTTACATCGTTAATGGAATACTACACATGCTTATATATATACAATTTTAAACTTTCCCGTGAAAATATTACAACAGTTAACTTCCTTAAGATATGAAATATTAAAAAATAACGTTTTTTATAACTGTAGATAATGTCCACTCAAAGCCAAAGTCTTCTTCCTTAAAGAGTCCCTAATCCTAAGATTATAAATTGATCTAATTGCTCTTTTCTGAAGCACAAAAATCGTTTGTATGTCGGCAGCATTTCCCCACAATAGTATTCCGTACGACATTACACTATGAAAGTAACTGAAGTATATTAATCTGACAGTATCTATGTCAGTTAACCTACGTATCTTCATTACGACATATGCTGAATAGCTACTATAGCCCCGCGGGGGAAAACCAGCTATTCTGTGAGGGTAGCAAAGGATTAAAAATAAATTATCGCTAGCAACTTAAATGGCTTCCTGTGTGTACGTAGGAGTTTAAAGAGTTATTTATGCGCTTTTAAATATTCTATTCGATGGACTCGCCCCCTTGCTGGGCCGTCCCATCCATACCTATAAGCAAGCGAATGACCTAAAAGCTCTGTCAAATATTTATTTCGATTGTCTTCAGTGTTACGGAATAAGGGAGTAGGTGTTCCAGCACCTGACCTCTGCATTAGGTACTGACTGAAGTGTACACTTAGTACTTAAACATACTGAAATATCAAACTTCAGAAAGCTGTGTCTATTAGCTGTTTACAACCGAAATAGACGATATGAACCTGACTAAGCTATTCCTAAGGCACGAGATTGTAAAATTCTTATTACACTTTTAAACAGCTTTTTTTCGAGAAACAAATCAAATATATTGAAAGCCGACTATTTAATTAATTCCTCGGAACGGTCGTTATGCACTTAGAAACTTTTAAATTTCAGTTATATGGGTCATACTAATTCTTCAGCCTTTATAGTTGCTGGAACATTGCCTTGAAGATGCACTAAGGTTGAGTAGCTACTCTATGTATAAAAGCAGAGAAAACTTAACAGGCTATACCCATCACGGGGGCGCAGTGCGGATTGGATTATCGAATAAAATCGAATCCTATCCCATATTGTTTTCCTGAGTACATTCAACTCATAGAATACTGAAAAATAAAGCCGTAAATGATTATTTTTTTACTTACGGGAAGCTAACATCATACGCGTGTGACATGGCTATAATTTACGCGGGCGAGATCGTGGAAAAACAGCTAAGAAATAATATACAAAACTCGATTGGTGACATTCGGCTCGTCATAACTCGAGAGGTTACATCTAAAATATAAAAACTTTTTTTTTATCTATACTAATATTATAAACAGGAAAGATTTGATTATTTGTTAGTATGCATCGAATTGAGTCTGAAACTAAGTACTAGACCGATTTTAAAAGCTACATCATACGCGGCTGCTACAACAACAGCTAGTGTTCTTACAGAATGCTTTGATTTTCACAAGTTTGCAATTCCGAAAAGTAAACATCGGTAAGTTCTTAAACAAAGTGAGATAAGTAGTTTACTTTCTTGGGAGATCCTTGGGGGCAACGTGGGGAGCCACCCCCAATCTAGACTTTACGCATGCGCCCTCCCCGCGCACCCTGTCCGCGCAATCCGCCATAGCTCGCCTATCGTATTTCATCTACGACACACTTTTAAAAGGCTAAGAAAACTCACCTCATCGCCCGAAAACAGGTAATAATAAATTTCTATATCATTTCTTAAGCACATCACGTTATCCGAGTGCGGGCCACGCGATTTCCGCAGCGATGGTGTGAGAGCGCGGGCCGGCAAAAATAAAGAGATAGAAATGTGTTGGGGTGAGGCAGAATGGCGGGGGTTGAGTTAGCCCCTGCTAACCGCCTCGTATCATTTTGTTGTGGTCCGGTCACCTCATACCTGTCGTGATGCGATTCTCCCTCTTGCCATACTTGGCCCCTTAAACGTTTTCCCCATAACATAAGGAGATAGGCAATTGACCGCATCGATATTAGGTTTCGATGGTATAAAAAATCTCTAGGTAGAGACAATGTTTTTGCTAATAATACGAGTTTCCGAGCAAATCAAGAGTTATCCACCCGATAAAAGTTTCGGAAAAATCCCAAACCATGAGTTTGATGTTTCTCTTTTAAGATTTGGGTTGATGATATTCTATCCTTGCACATATTCCTGCCAGCTCATCTTTTTTTTTGACCAACTTCAAAAACGAGGTTATCAATTTGATCTGTATGAATTATAAATTCATTGGACGCAATATTCATTACACTATATGAATATTGCTTGGTATTGTTGTTTAAACGTTGGTCACGTATTTCTCGTAAATGTCTTATTTATTTATCGGTATGCAATCATTATATCATAAGATCTATTTTAAATTTTACTTAATTTAGGTACTTAAAAAAAGTGTAATTAGAAATTACCCGATATCAAAAAACGTAATAAAAGTGAAAAATAATTTTAGAAATTTGACTCCAAGTTAATATTAATAACTTACACAAAACCCCTGTCCGACTGTTCCGACTCTTTTGGAGTCTGTTTAATTTTTTTACATTAATGATTCCGATAACCAATAAAGACTTATTAGAATTGCAGACAGCCAATAGGAGAAGGCCTATGTTCAGCAGTGGACGTCTTCCGGCTGATGATGATGATGATGATGATGAATAGGAGAAGGGATAGTTTCCTGTCTAGGTACTTAAGTCCTAAACTTGATGGATTTAAGGCACATCGTTTCGTTAAGATTTATACGACTACCTCCCGTTATGCTGAAAATAAAACAAACTTAACTTTGAATGTCGAATGCTATGATGACAGTCAAATAAGTAAGATCAAATATCTGCTTAATGTTGCAGTGATCAAAGATGAATTTCGCACCATTCACGGGGCACATTCCGAGCGCCGCGTCCATGCCGACGATACACCAATTCGCCGCTAAGTTCGGTTATGAAGGCAACGGCAGTGGTTCGAGTGTGGTACAAGAGACGCGATATCAAGGTGGCGGCGTGCAATTCGCTGTGCCGGCCGGCGGCTCTGTCACCGTGGACGGTGTTAAATTTCGCCAAGCAGAAAGTGTGGTCGTCGTCAGTAGCGCTCAGCCGGGCGTCGCACTGGCTGGAATAGCGCCTATACATACAGGTTCGTTCATTAGGATAGAATTACATTTAATTATACTAAAATCTTAACGCATCGCGTTTGTAAACGTAAAAAAAGGACTCTCAGCGCTCTGAACGCTTAGTGTAAGTATTTTTGACGTTTACGTTCACTGTCGATCGTGCGTGAGTGCGTTAAGATTTACTATGGAATCCGGTACAGCGCCCCTAGCGGTACCTACCAAGAACTACAAATCTCCATACAAATACTTAACGCGCTCACTAGTGAATGCGTTAGCATAAAACTTACACTTACCACTCTGTGCAGCTCGTGGGACTATACTTGGGGCGAGATGACAGATCGATCGCAGAAAAATGATCATAAAATTAATATAATTACTAATTTTACAGCAGTGAACAGCGGTGTGAAGTACCAGACCATATCGGCCTCATCATCCGTAAATCTTGGTAACATCGCGTATGGGGGTGGGCAAACCAGCTACGTGCAGGAAACAGTGCAGCAACTGAAAGCCGAGCAGAGAGACAAGCGCGAGTACCGGGACGAGCTTCATCACGATCTGATGGCTACCATGATGCAGCAACAAGGTAATCTAACCCCTCTAATAATTAGAGAACAAAAGCCTATATCATTTAAAAAAGAACGTGCCTTCGTTAGCATCATTCGGGGCCGGCCCATCCATATAAGATTATGTTTGCTCTAATTATTTGACCCTTAAACATTTGTACGATAAGAAATTTACTTTCGTTCCTTGAACACGAGTCCCATGTCCACGGTATTTAAAAGTGCAAAAATTTCAGACCTACTTAAGGATTTTTTTTTCTCATTGGTTTACACTGTTTAATCCAGTTCAATCGGTGTACCCGGTGATTTTTTTATGGCGTCGTTCCAGTGTTTTGCCTAGGTTCATTATATTTTCATTGACCCGGCGCTGTCATCACAGTGTCATCATCACAAAAATCAACCCGTAACCCATGAAACCAACGCTTCATCGTAGTCTCGTTTTTTTCTTTTTGTTATCCTTTTCCGGCTATCTTTGTAATCTTCAGTACACTTTTCTTTTCCAGCTTTTTCAAATGCATCGAATAATTCGCGTTGATTTTTCACAAAAGTAATCAGGGAATCGTAAAGGTTGGAGACTACCTCAACGTTTGTGTCCACACCTTGCAAAACTTTAGAAACGGTATTAAATTGTTTTAGGACTGATCCCCAGAATTCCGATAATATCGCTGTTTCTAAGGAATTCAGTTGAGCCAATAAACCTGTAGCTTCATTTTTGATTGAGGCTTTTTGTTGCGAAGAGTTACTTTTTATTGCTTCCAGAGCTTTAATTATTTGTTCCCAATTTTTATTCAGGCTCGAGCAAGCATCATCTCTTGCCGACCACCGCGTATGTGACAAACTTTTAACGGTTACATTTTCAGGTTCCGTTAAAAATGTTTGCAATATTTTTGTACGTTCCGTTGATCCTGTAAAAAATACGTACAGATTTTGCAATACTCCAAAAAATGGCCACCGTCGGCGCCTGCGCGGCTACCCTCTATCTCTCTCTACGAAAACAAAGCGCCAACCATACCTAGATGAACGTTGTGATAGATTTGCATACTTATTGATATCTTCCGAACATACGAAAACTTTATTATTTTTCTAGATAGACTAGTACAGTCAAGTGCAGATCAACCTGTACAGTTTTGTTGCAATATCGCCTTTAAACCAATGGAACAAGGTGCCCCAATGTAAAGCTTACTCTGCACTTGACCCTGTACATTTTAGAACTTCTAGAAATTAGCTTGCGCAGGGCGACTTAGGCTAAATACTAAAATTATTTTTTTGGCTTCAGACTTGTTTCAGACATAAAATAAAAAAACCGAGGCGGAAAAAAATAGACGGTTCAACCGGTTCAGGAAAGAACAAGGGGAGGCTTGCATACTTCAATTAATTTCGAATTTCTCCAGACATGAAATCCACGCACATCACAAGGGGCGGCTTTCATACTTTAATTGAATTTCAAATTTCTTCAGACATTAAATCAACATGTGGAAAGGTGGCTCAGGGGCGTTCTAGGCTTAAGTCTGAAAATATTTTTTGTATTTTTTCAAACGTCCAAACCAAAGCCCTAGCCCTGGGCCGCCCCTCGCGGCCTGCCGCCCCGGGCTATAGCCCTTCCCCACAGAAACTCATAGGCTCTGGATCTGCAGATTGATCTTCTGAAAAGTTGCTTAAAAATTCAAACCGAAAACGCACCAAGCACTGTGCCGTCGAGCTCCTTACAGTTATACGAATTCGTAATTAAATAAATATCGGGTGTGAAAAAAGGAATTACCTATCTTTATTCATCAAGTCGTTCTCTAGGGCTCCAAATAAATAATAATCGGATGGATATTATTCTTAATTATGGTAATTAACAGTCTGAAAGGAAGGAATTAATTGAATTAAGAATAAAATAAAATAATAAAACCATAATTTCCGCAGCTACCTTCGAATTTATTATTTCTTCATAATCTTTTCAACAATAGTAGACACCTTGACAGTAAGGGTACTACATAGCTCGTTCGATCTCCGATGCGGAAGCCAGGCTAAAAATTTATTATCTCGAACTGCACGAAGAAGAAGCACGAAGCTTCTTCTTTTTGCAAACTAAAAGCTTGTAAAAACTAAGGAAGTATCGACGTTCTACCTTAACACTTAACAATTACCAATATTTTAATGACATTATGATTATTAGCTTTGATCAATTTTGCATTCTAGTTATCTAGCATTTTTCATTAAGATTTTTTCCGACATAATTATTTTTAACGTTTTCTTTGTGAGTAAGCAGAACAGTTAGGGAGTTTCAATGTATGTATTCCGCTGCAGTGTCGCAAGCTGGTCCACTGCAGCAAGGCACGCAGCAACTGCTGGTTGTACTGCATGAGCCGAAGGAGGCAGCAGCCCTGGCCAGGGCTATCAAGCAGGAGACACGCGCCGACCGCGCTGCCCTCGCCGCCCTCCCCGCACCCGCTGAGTTCATTAGTTAGTACCTCTTTGGATTATTCTCTAGAAAACTTTGAAACCTTTTTTGACCGAATCCAAAAAAGGAGTTTCGCGGATAATGTTGTCGCTTCTGAACTGATATTATTGAATCTTTTTTTATTAGATGGCCTGATGTGAGGGACCCATATAAATTTTATCGAAATCTAATTTGTAGTTTTGTGTTATAACAAATCGAAATATGCCTTCGCCAAATATCACCAGAATATTTTGATGATATTTAGATGAATATCAACGACGCATTTTTCATTCATTCAAAATCCGGATGGTCAAAATTTCTATCTTCGACAAAAAATCAATATTAAACTTCCAATATAAAAAAAAAGTTACAAATAATACTTATTTTAAAAGCGACTATATTGTTCAAGAATTCTGTAGGTTTTCTGTAGTTTAATTAAATGAATCGACTTCAATAGCTAATATTGTACTTTGATATCTGTATTTATTTTTCTTACTATACATTAACTTGCCGATGTGTTAGAATTTGTATAACCTGGTATCTCATTAAGGTATCGGCGACGTGACAGACAGTGCTACGTGGCAAACTTTGGGAGGGGGCGTGGCAGATTACCTGTCAGCTTTGCCGCTGCCGCTGCATCACCTGCTCAAGTACTCGACCGACGGCAAACGTGACGACCAACCAACTATAGTGACCGTCACTAACGCGCTGCCATCTATGCCTACTATTGCTACGGTAAGAATTCATTTATTCATAACGTCCAATCAATGTCTCCATTGATGATGCAGGCTTTACCGTTGGTTGAAATCATATAATAGAACTGGGATTGCCTAATATCTAGCTATAACTCTAGCCGTATCTAAAACGTTCTACTGATTCTATCGATTAATATACATATAATATAAGTGAAAGTCGGACCCGCAAACGAAGGGCTCCGTGCCGTAAACGAGAAATGCCTCTCTTAGGCTACGCTCACTTTGGACACGAATTCGTATCGTACGTGAACGTACGAATGTGGTCGTACGAATTGAGTGTTCACACTGAATACGTGTTTGTCCGTCTACAAATCATTATTCCGGTGATATTGCATTCGTTAAGTCCTCTTTGGTTGAAGCGCGATGAATAATCTTTACCTTCAAGATAATTCTCCTATTACTCAAAGACTGCGGCAACGTCGTCGCCGTCGAAGATCCGAATGGGTGCGTGAAATATATTTGAAAAGAAATGATTTCGGCGAATTTCATCATATTATGGAAGACTTAAATAAAAATGCTGAATTGTTTCATGGTTATGTAACTTAAATCACTCTGATCCCACAAACATTTCTTACTGTGAACTAAATTAATAAATGTTTCTACATCCATTCTTAAGAAAAAACGTACGAATAAGTTATAAAATCCCAAAAAGTTCGGATTGGTTTCTGACGTCGTAACTATACGTACGTATACGCACGACTAACTCGCACGCAGTCGGAGCGCTTCCATAGTACTTTTAAGGTCGGGATTATTCGTGCATGTTCGTACGTGAACGCACGAGTCAAATTCGTACGAAAACGCGTCCAAACTAAGCGCAGCCTTAAATATTTGTTTATTTTTAACTTAATTATTTATTTTATGAATTTATGTATATGTATTTGTTTTTGAAACAGCATCGGAAATAAATAATCTGTGAAATTTCAAACTGTAACTTACTCGGTTCATGATATACAGCCTGGTCTCAGACAGTCAGATAAAAAGCAAAGTCTTACTAATAGGGTTCCCATTTTACTAGAGTTTTTAGCTGGAATTGGCTAGAATCATAAGGTTAGAGAGCTACGCGGTCGCTCTGCAGGCCTGTACGGATTGCTGGATGTTAACACCTTACATATGAAACGAGTGGGGCGCGAGATAATACATTTTTGATCACCAATCCGATAACCATCCCTTGTGAAAGTTGTTTGACTGTTGCTAGCGGCGTGATTCAACGTCCCAGCCTTATTAATTAAAGGAAACAGCCGACAGCTTTTGGTGTACAGTATGTTATACATTAGTTAATGAAAAAAAAAGTAGATAAATATATATTTCAACCTTGTCTAATCGAAACCGAAAATGTTGATATTTCAGAAAATCACTGAAATAAACTACTACATTTCATAATATTTGTCATTTTATATTTGCAGCAAATGCCATCTAACGCGGTAAACAGTGTTGTGGTTCAGACGGCGACTATAGTGAATCAGACAGTGAACACAAACGCCCAGACTCAATCAAACGTAGCTGCAACACCGAAGAAGAAGAAAAAAAAGAAAAACGCCAAAGAGAAGAAACCACGTCCTAAACCGGGCGAGATCCGGCTTACAACAGCACTAGGTAATAATAGACTACAGGCCCATGTTGAAAAAGTTATGGGTCATTTGAACCACCAGGTGACCTGTCTAGAACGATATAAGAGCATAAAAAAATAAGATTCAGTACTATGCCGTCACTTGTAAGCTGTCCAACTGAGTGCAGGTGAGAATTCGAAAGTTCAGGTAGAGTGAGTACATTTTGGTCACATATTTTTGTACGGCATTTTTACCACCGATAGATCCATTAAAAATAATAAGAAAACGCGCAGTGCCGTAAAAAAATGGTGCGCCACAAAGTCGGATTTTTTTTTTATTTTCCGACAATTACCGGGGTAAATTTGGTCATTTGATTTTGTACGGCATCTGTGTCATACTATTTCAATACTGCTTCTTATCCATTATTCCGCAACGCCGTACAAAAATCATGCGACAAGGGGAAAAAATCGAGGGTTGCAACCCCCTCTCTTTCCGTAGTCCAGGGGGTGATTTGACACAACATGAAATAAATTTATTTTGAAAGTATTTTATGTATAGATAATATTTTTTCATGTGCCGTACATTTTCGTTGGTTCAAAGGGTAAAAAACTGAAAAAGAAAAAATCCATATAACGAAATGTAAGGTGAATTTAATTTATATTGTGAAAATTTTTTTATACGGCATTTAGATAGATTATTTGTACTAATTTAAATGTGCATTCTAAACTACTGTGCGATGTTTAGCATTTGTAGGGAATATCGTATTTTATTCGGATGTACTCGGCTTGGACCCGAGTAAGGTGTTTGCGTACACTCACACATAGTTCGATTCACAGAACGCAGAAAGACGTTAGAAGGGCCTTGTGGGCGTGGCAGTGCAGCCACGATCCTAGACAAATGTACAGGATCGTGACTTCACCACGCGATCGCGATGTTTAGTCATTCACGTACGCGCGCGCTGTAAGTACTGTGAAACACGCCACTAAAAGTGTTAAAAGTGCCGACTTTCGCAGTTATTAATTTCAAAACAAGAAGCCCATCCTCAAGTAGGTCCAAAGGAAGGATTTCTTTCCATTATTAAGTAGAACACTTCTCAAATTTAGTATTTTTAGTCGAAAATCGTGAAATGTTATCAAAAGTGTGAATCACAAATAATATTTCCAAGAAAATGTATCGTACATTGCTGGAGAAGTGCGCATATTTATTACATTGCGTCGTACTAAGCACGTAATGTAATGAATATCGCGAAATTACCGTTTTAAATAGCAACATAGCTGATTACGGTAGATGGGTAGTGAAGTGCCTGGAAACATAATTACAATGAAACAAATCAATTATATGTATGTATCAATAATGTTTGAAGTATATATTAAACCAAAAAGTATATAAAACTGTTGATACTGGGATTGACAGTTTCAATTCTTGGACATAATATACACCGTTTCAGTTCAGTTAGACGTCATAGTGATTTTATCATATTAACAATTGTTCTCTTCAAAAATATGTTAATGCCGCACTGTATCAGATGGCCATAAAGTACCCTTAAAATTCTAGCGTCACTTTCATTAGCCTCAAAGATATGGTCTGCATAAAAATGTACGGCATCATTTTTTCCTAATTTATCTATGTTAATATTATTTAAAACAAGGGATAAAATGTAGAAAACTGCTATATTTCATTAATCTATGATATTTAAACTTTTACAAAATTTAAGTTTTTGCATTTCTCTATAATTTTTTTTAGAACGGTTTCTTTTGAACGGCAATACTATATAATAATTGTATTTTACAATATCATGTTAAAAAAAAAGTTCCCGTACAGGATCAAATGACTTTACAGCTCTATAAATCAAGGATACGATGAAATTAAGATGATTAGTGGTATACATTCAAAGGAACAATCATTTTTTGACGGCATTACTTTTAATAGTACTTTTGAGTGCTAGATAATGTTTTGGAACCGAAGCCGTACTTTTTCAAATCACCCCCTGGACTACGGAAAGAGAGGGGGTTGCAACCCTCGATTTTTTCCCCTTGTCGCATGATTTTTGTACGGCGTTGCGGAATAATGGATAAGAAGCAGTATTGAAATAGTATGACACAGATGCCGTACAAAATCAAATGACCAAATTTACCCCGGTAATTGTCGGAAAATAAAAAAAAAATCCGACTTTGTGGCGCACCATTTTTTTACGGCACTGCGCGTTTTCTTATTATTTTTAATGGATCTATCGGTGGTAAAAATGCCGTACAAAAATATGTGACCAAAATGTACTCACTCTACCTGAACTTTCGAATTCTCACCTGCACTCAGTTGGACAGCTTACAAGTGACGGCATAGTACTGAATCTTATTTTTTTATGCTCTTATATCGTTCTAGACAGGTCACCTGGTGGTTCAAATGACCCATAACTTTTTCAACATGGGCCTGTAGTCTATAAATCCCACTTTCTTTGAAATCATGTACTGTACATGATTATTAATTATTATCAGCCCTTTTACGTCCTTTCACTCCAGGGGCTCAGGTTTTTCTTATAGGTGGTTAAGAACGATGGTCCATACTGGCAAAAATTGTGACGTTTATGGACCTAGTGCAGTTATAAAATTTCTGGACTTACACCTCGCTCCGGTCACCCTGTTACAGATAAAACGGATGCCATTTTAAATAGTGGAGTAAGATCGACATATCACTTGTTACGATGTAGCTGAAGAATTGGGGATTGACCACAAAACAGTTTGGCGCATTTGAAAAAAGTTGGATATTTGGGTATCTCACGAGCTCACTGAAAGAAAACTAATGAACCGTATATCCATTTGTCATTCTTTATTACGGCGTAATAAAACCGAACCATTTTTGAAGAAGTACGACAAGAACGCGCTAAAAAGGTCGTGGTCAAAGATCGACCAAGCTTCATATATTGTAGTGAAACCCGGGTTAACTCGCAACAAGGTGATGCTGTATGTGTGGTGGGATTGGAAGAGAATTTTTCATGATGAGCTATTACCTCCAGGCAGGACCATCGAGACTGAACTCTACTGCGAACAACTGATAAGATTAAAGCAAGAAGTCGAGAGAAACGGCCAGAATTAATCAATAGAAGGGTGATTCTTCATCATGATTACGCTAATCCTCACATATCTTTTGGCACTCAGCAAAAATTAAGATAATTTGGCTGGGAGGTATACATGCATCCGCTGTTTAGTCTTGAACTTGCACTTTGAGAATTCCACCTGTTTCGGTCTCTTCAGAATTCTTTAGTCAGTATCAGGCTAACATCACTCAAGGGCTGCCAAAACCACTTGTCGCGTATATCCCTACCTACAAGATGACAAAAACATACTTTAGTTAAATGTAAATAAAAATTTTAAAAAAGTTTTCTATTTCATATAATATGCGAAGAAAGTTTTTCGCTAACCTATTATATGTAGTTTGCTTCCGCCATCTTGATGCTCACAGATAGTCACCAGACTGGTTCAATATCCTCACTGCTGGGGCACAGGAATTTCCTATGAACGAATATAATAAAGAGAGCAGATTGGTGAGGTGTAAACGACTGGAGATGCAACCGCCGACATACGGATTAGCGTACGTTCTAGAACACGGAGAATTTGAGATGCTTAAATTTAGTCACATCCTATGACATAAAATAAATCATATTTTATTTCACTAGATGGAAGTACACTGTACTGCTGTCCAGAGTGCCATATGGCGTATCCCGAACGCGGTCTGCTGGAACAGCATTTAGTTGGCCACACTATGGAGAGAAGGTATATTATTAACCTTTGTGTTAACATATTATTATAGCGTCGGCGACTTATTCTACCTAGTATCATGATTCAAAAAATCAGCAATAGAATAAACTGCCATTTCCAATAACCATTTACGTAAAGTAGATTTAAATCGGTTAAACGATAATGGTTTGAAATTATTGGGTATTTTGTTGAATATTTTTTGGTACATGGCATAACTGCTAATTTGAAATATTTAAGTTTTAGGGACGAATTTCAAAACTAGTCTTTGAGGGTTTCTTCTTAATCTTTGGCTCAAATCCTGTGCTTGTGTAAACTTTTTACTGTTTAATTTAACAAATATGCAAACTTCTAAAATATAAAGACATGGTAGTGTCAAAATTTGGAGAGTTTTAAAGAAATATCAGAATTTTTGACCAATAAACTGAATTTTAGTATCAGTGCCCTTTACCCAAATTAATAAACCATATCTTAAGATGGATTGATTGAGAACAGTGCCATCTAGGAATTCGATTTATAATAAATAGGCATATCTTTACGACTAACCTGACAGCTGTCGTCGGTGTGACGTCACACAATGGCGGCCGTGTTCCATGTCACGCCACACACAAAAAAAATCTCGACTTTTAATGTTAAGATAATAAGATTATATTTAATATATGTTTATCATAATGTAAATTTTAAATTAAAATTTTTATCTTAATATAAATTACGAAACTACCATATTACATTTCAATCGCTTTTTTTCATTTTCATCTGCGTTGTCAAAAGGAATGCACACATTGCTCGGAACCGAAGTATATAGCTAAATCACGTGTATTATAGAAATCTGAAACAACGACGCTATCATAAAACCCAGATCTTGTAAAACACATTTACATTGACAGAACTCACATGTGGAATATGAGTGGTTTTATGACTTATTTTTATTGATCTGTTACTGGTTTTTTGTTTAATTATCAATAGATGGTGTTAATAAATTTGTTATTGTTGATAAGGTTCATCTGCGACATCTGTAACGCTGCCCTCAAGCGCAAAGATCACCTGACACGTCACAAACAGTCTCACAATCCTGAGAGACCGCACGTATGTTCCGTATGTTTAAAAGCTTTCAAAAGGAAGGAACAATTAACACTACATTTCGTCATCCATTCCGGCGAGAAACGTCACATATGCAACGAGTGTGGGAAAGGTAAATCAACTTCTACACGTTTGTTATAGAGTTTAATTTTCGCATGTTCTTCTTGTCAGCAAAAGACGTCCTGAACGAATAGTAGGGAAACACTTTTTGGACAATAAGGAAGTATTTAAAAAAAATAAAGCACTAAAAGAGCACTTCCACTAGATGGCGACTCTAGCAAAAGTTGATTTTTGCAGGAAACAAATGGACCA